GTTTTTGAACCATTTGTGAAAAGGTTTGCCATAAGAGATAGTATAAACTGTTAACTTGAGTTCTATTACAGTTTGATTGAATGGACAAAAAAAGACTACATGAAGTTCACTTACAAGTTACGAGATGCATGGGTAACCCCTGACAGAAATAATGACATTTACAAGTTATGAGATGCATGGGTAACCCCTGATAGAAATAATGACATTTACAAGTTATGAGATGCATGGGTAACCCCTGATAAAATAATGACATTTACAAGTTATGAGATGCATGGGTAACCCCTGAATAGAAAGAATGACATTTACAAGTTATGAGATGCATGGGTAACCCCTGATAGAAAGAATGACATTTACAAGTTATGAGATGCATGGGTAACCCCTGATAGAAAGAATGACATATACAAGTTACAATATGCACAGGTAAACACAGAAAGAAAGAATGACATATACAAGTTACAATATGCACAGGTAACCCCTGATAGAAAGAATGACATATACAAGTTACAATATGCACAGGTAAACCCAGATACAAAGAATGACATATACAAGTTACAATATGCACAGGTAAACCCAGATACAAAGAATGACATATACAAGTTACAAGATGCCTGGGTAACCCCAGATACAAAGAATGACATATACAAGTTACAAGATGCACAGGTAACTCCAGATACAAAGAATGACATTTACAAGTTACGAGATGCACGGGTAACCCCAGATAGCAAAGAATGACATTTACAAGTTACGAGATGCACGGGTAACCCCTGATAGAAAGAATGACATTTACAAGTTACGAGATGCACGGGTAACCCCAGATACAAAGAATGACATTCACAAGTTATGAGATGCACGGGTGACCCCTGATACAAAGAATGACATTCTATCATCCACTTGATTTTTAAGTTTTTATTCGAGCTACTCTTACATTTATAAAACTACTGTTTAAAGATCGTGTATCTCCACTATCTTAAAACAATCAAAACTGTGAAAAGCAAATGTTGAAATTGCTGTTATAATATACCAGGATGTTTCAATATCTGCTCATAAAAGAGTTTATATCTGGGACCCTTAGCTGACATGACACTAGTGCTCTGAGGAATCAAAGCCCAAACAGGTATTATACCCTATCCTCGCTAATAATAATCCCATATTCTAAGGCTCATCCTCAAATATTCAGCACAACATACAAACACAGTTTGACAGTCTGATCAGCAACACCACCACACACATACAGGTCAATCACTGGGCCAAGCATGCACATATATTGTTTGATTCATCATCTACTCAGTTCAGATGGTCTTCAAGGGTAGAATAACCACTACTTGTGGGTCAAAATAGCATATTTAGATGTTAAGATATCTCTGACCTAGACTTGAACCTAGGACGCACATCTCAAATTAATGTTCTAAATCTAATGCCCTAACATGACTCAAGGTCCATGAATTCTGAATGTTACACTGTTCTTTTCAAGTTGTGTACAATTAAAGCTAAAATTTAGAGAAGTATGTCCCACTCTCATGCCCTTAAGAGTTAAACAAAATATCATATTGTTTGGCAAATTATTTTCTGTGTGATTACGAGTATAAAAGAACTCTAGACATATATACCAGTGAGATTTTGCTGTATATTAGCTCACTTGGATATAAGTGAAGATTTGAATTTTTTGGACAAGATCTTCATGTTTTTTTTTTATCTACACTAAGGAGTTGGAGCTCATTAAGTATTACTTCTTTAAAATTCTGGTCAAGATCTCTACGTGATGTGTTCACACCACACATTAAATTTCCTCATAAGGTAGTTCTTTACCTACCGTATATGAGCAAACCATCTTTGCTTTCTCTGTAGTGGATCCCTAGCTGGTCCATCACATTAGTAGGGAGTTTGAAGTACTCGTGATCATGGTTCAGTGGAGGATACACCTGGACCTTACACGTGTCCAGCTTCTGCTGAGTAATCAAGCCAGCATCAATAAGCTCCTGGTCTCGCCTCTGAGTGACCACAACACTTACTGTGCTAAACAACTCAATACCCTGTTTGAATGCATCATACTCTCGGGCAAGATTTGAAGTTCCATTGATACCAATAGTAGGTTGGTCAGGCTGAAGAACTATGATGTAGCTATGGAAAGTAGGAACCTTGAGGATGCTTCCATTTCCACACCTAACATGCAAAAATAGGGGCATAAGTAAAATATTAAAACTTGATGATATTCTGTATACTACCATATTTGGAATCATTCATTATTTAATAAAACTTTTGCCTTATAGAAGTAAAAAAGTCCATTATAAACTTGAAATTCATTAAGTACAGTTAGAATCAAAGTTCCGTTCACTTAAACACACATGTACTTAGTTCAACAATCAAGGAAGCCCAAAATCAGTTCTTGTTATACAAATGGGAAACAAAGTTAAAATGTGGGAAGACACTTATGTGTACATTAGTGGCTTAGATTTTCAATTGCAGTTGAAACTCACGTAACAGTGGTAGCTACAGTAAGACTGCGGAGACCAGGAGATGGATACTCTCGGGAGTTTATGTAGGCCACTTGAGCCACAAGGTCCTCCATATTCATTTTGCTGATTCCTTCAATCGTCACTTGAGTTTGGTCTGAATTAGTAAATACTTCCTACAATAGTAAGTCATAGTTGTTACTACTGTGAATAAATTTCAATAATGGAAATTTTATTTGTATAAAATAAAACATGTAAAAAGTCTATATTATATACCTAGGAGACACATATTAATATAAATGTGTTCGTACATAACATATTACTAAAAAAAAAAGGAGCACTATGTCTGAAGAATAAGACTGCGATATTTAACGGGAATATAAAAAAAATAGTATTCAAGAGCAAAAAAAATAAAAACTAAAGGGTTCAGATGAATAATTAATTAAGACGTAACTAATACACAAATAAAAGAATGGCTAGAAAAAATTGTGAAACATTAAAGAAGTTTCTTTCTTTAAACAAAGTTTTCCATAAGGAAAATAGTCCATCTACCTGGTAACATATAACAATATTTTGGAACAACATGGGGCCTACTGGTCCATCTCAGCTGTTCCATCTTCTAAGCTAAACTAAACTACTAATAAATAAATTTTAAAAAATTTTAAAGCCAGCTGTAAAATGGTGCTCCTGAATTTTTTATTCTGGTAACATAATTGCAAATTGTAAATTTGCAAAAAAGTTGTTTTTTTTTATTCCATTAAAATCTCCAAGTTCAAAGAAAAGCATGTGTTTTAGGTAGTGAATAACATCTTATTTTTTTCAGTTCAACCAACAAATGACCCAGAATCAAGCTCATCTGGTCCTACAAGAAAATCAAACAGGGTCGAGAAAGTCAAAGTATATATTGGTACATAAAAAACAAGTAAATACATGTCTTTGGGTGCATTTTTTAAGATTTTATCTTAGCATGTAAATATACAACATATTTCAAGATTGATGTTAGCCTACTGTACATATAAATAGGTAATATAAGGTAAAATATATACAACTGTAATCAGTATTATTTTCTAATAAAAAAAATCTTTGAAATTCAGAAAAAGGGGTAGTTTTTAGTGGAAAAAAATATCCAAGGACTTGTAGAAATAAGTGTATTTTTTCATCCAGTGTTTAAAAGATATTTTCTGATTTTACTATTTCAAATTGACCAAATTATCTTAAAGTTATTTGTACACACAAGTTTGTTATGGATCAATAAAATATTTCTATCAGTACTTGATGTAAAATTATGATTCATATAAATGTTTGGTTTTTGATACTAAGGAATCACTGAGTGTATTGTAATAGTCAGGATGGGAGGATATCCACTTGAGACTTAACTCCTTACAGTTCAGTTGAGAATTAGGTTTAGATTATTAGCCCTGCAACCAAACAACAAATTGGAAAGCTTTGTATCCTCATCCATTATATTAGTACCTAACTAATGATCATTCCATCTGGTGAAGTAAGTAAATGGTAAATCATATTACCTATAGGTTAACCGGTTTACCTAATGATAGTGATACAACATTGCCATATTATGCGTGTTTCCACCATGCGGTTGCTGGGTTGTGTATTTTTGACATAACTAAAGCATCAAAATTATGCATGTTGCTGGCACAAGATTCTGGGCTGTGGCCCGTGAATTCACGTCGACATTGGCTTTGGATGGGGAGTTATTTGTTTGAAACTTGAGGGCTATTGGCAACCAGCAAGTTTACTTATATCTGCAACATCAAGATTTAAATCTGGAAAAAGAGATGTTGTCTCA